ATTTTGTTGCAATTTTAATTACTTTAATGAAAGTTTTAATTGCAAAATAGCAAAAACGCAGATACAGAGAGTGAAAGAGAGAGGGAGCAAAAGAGAGAGAGAGAAAGAGCAACCCCGTAATGAGTTTCTGTGGTCTAAGAAAGGTTGGCAGCTCCGACAGTTACGACAACGTCAGCGACATCTAAAGCACAGGAAACACCGAAACACGCAACACACACAAACACACACACACACACACAAAATCACTTTGTACTATAATTGTTTCAGAAAGGTATTTTCGGGACAAAGGGACAATTGATTGATAAAGAAATCTATGAAAAGTATTAAGTTGGAAAAGGCGCATAAGGAGGAACAATTGCAGCAGACAAGTTAGAAAAAGTCATAACAAAAAGTTACTTAAGCCAGCAAAAATAGATTTTAACTTTTACAAAATCGTTTGAAGAAATCCTTGAACAGCAGTAAAAACAAATGTTAATTGTTGAATATGTCTATTAAAATAAACATATCAGTTGGGCTAGAGCCTTGCTAGAGCCAATTTCATTCGAAAGTGGAATATAGGTCAATTGTAAAAAAAAAAAACGTTCGTATATTTAATATTACTTTTCTGTGTTTTTTATAATAAACAAAATGAAAGAGCATTTTCTTTGTTCAAATAAACATAAAAAAAGATTTAAAAAAATTTAATTTCTTAATTCATTATATTAATTCATTATAAACTGTTTTCTAATTATCAATTCAAGTTTTCACCTGCTAGAAGTATATTTAAGGCTTACTATGAAAGAATTGTGTCAATAAATATAAAATGAACACAGTAAAAGCTTTAATTTAGTGTTGTGCCAATAAATGTTCAATTAATAGAAATCGAATCCCACTCGTTCTACCTTGTTGCCGATCAATGCACACATGTAATTGCTGTTAGCGTTTGCCGTCTGAGTCATCCCAATGGGGTCTAGAACAACATCAAAAACATTTCAGTTGCGGTTGGGCCCAACGCCCCGAACCCCAGCGCTTGACCCACAAAGTCAAGCAAGCAAATCAGCACAAAAAAGAGAGAAAAGCTAAATACAAAAAAACGTAGAGAAAACGCATGTCATACATGTCGTGCTGTCGTAGTCTCCAAGAGAAATCGTTTAAATAAAATATGCACACAATTGTGAGACCGCAAGGCACTGGGAAATGAAATAAGTGAGCCGTGGCAACCAGGCAAAGAAATAAATACAAGCTCATAGATAGAAAAACCAAAACCTAAAACAGCAACAACAACAACAGCAGCAGCAACTGAAATGTGAGACTGCAAAGTCAATGAACTGCAGCAGATACGAGATACAAAAAATAGAATAAGCAACAACAAATACGACAAAATGTATCTTTGAGCTGCTGCTGCTGCTGCTGCTGCTGCTGAAGTTCTGTGTGTGTGACTTTGATGACGTCGTTTTGAGTGTTGCTTAGCATTCGATGCGCAATGGCTGAGTTGATATTTTGTTATTTATATGCATAAATAAAAAACTATACACATACATATATAGATTTGTATTTGTTATCCTTGTTTGCAGCTTGTCGACTGCGTGCGTTGATTTCTTGTGCACGGTGCGTGTGTGTGTGTTTGTGAAATATGACAGCGGAAATGCACTGCACATGCGATGCGAGCTGCGAAAGAAGTGCAAAGCATTCAAGACACACATTACGCATACGCAGTGTTGAACTGCGTTGAGCGGGCAAAATAAGCTACAACCATTTGAAGCGAAATATGTTTTTAGTTTAAAATGAACGTATATAATTAATAAAAAATATTGTTAATTATAAAGTTTAGAAAAGTTGAGTAATTTAGTAAATTCTAGTTTTATATTTAAGTAGCTTAGAAAAGTAGCTCAACTTAAAAATCCAAAATATAAAATTCATTATCCAAAAAATTCGAAATTTAAAATTTAAAAGCTTAGAAAAGTTGTTCCCTTTCGGAAACTCTACATAGCTAACTTTTCTAAACTATTTAAATTTCAAAATATTTTTTAAATCTACATCTATATTTTTATTTAAATTCATTGTTAAATTGTAATAGTTACAGTATTTCGACGCTCTGATTTATCAGCTTTCAACTCTGTTCAACGCTGCGTATGCGTCATTTGTGACTTGAATGCTTTGCACTTTTTTGCTGTCAGAAATTACTGTGCAACTACTCTAAACTATTTATTGTTATAACTAGAATTTCCTCATTGAACTACATTTCGAAGCTATTTAATTTAAAGTTTGCCAAATTAACAACTTTTTGAAGCGCTTCAATTTTAAAATATTCTTTTCAATATTAACAGTTTTAAAGTTTATATATAAACTTCAGTTTAAACTAATCTTATAATATTGTTATAACTATTTATTTTCCAGAATCTACATAGATACTCAGTAGGAATTTAACTTTTTTTATTCACATAAAAAACATCTAAGACCACTGAAAATTTCAAATTCTTTCGCTTTATACGAGAAGCAATCTTCTTTTTATTTTTTTTGAATTCTCAAGAGATTCGTAATTGTATTCCTTGAACTTGGTAATTTTTAACTTTCCACTTTCAACGAACTGGTTTTAAACTCTTATTTAAGGCTTTTGTTGCAATCTTTTGTACGTAGTTTTTTTCGGCACTCAACTGAACTCATGTTGGGAGGCTCGTTAAATGCATGCGCCGTCGACTTTGGCCATAAAGCGTCTTAATGCGCCTCCACACATTTCGGCTGGCATGGCAAAGAGGGTTGGGCGAGGCGAATGAAAAGAAAACTACGAAAAAATTATTATATGTTGCGAAGGCAAACAGAACGAAAAGCAAATACACTTATTGAAACTATTTATATATGTTAATACATTTACCAAAAAAAAGAGTAATTTTTTAGCTTTTTATATGCAGATGATTTTGTTATTATTATTATTTATAATTATATTTCATTTTCAATGTGCGTGTGGATTACAGCATTTAATTATTCCACGTTAATGGTTTGAAAGTAAAATTCAGAATTTGTTTTATTTCAAGCCTGTTCTTAATGGCAAATAATTTAGTAGACAGACCTTTCATATTTAAGATAATATATTCCTTTAATCAATTAATAAAAAATAAATATAATATATATTATAAATGAAGTTACAAACATCATTAAACAGTCGCAATACCCCTTTAGTAAGATACTAAAGAAATATACGCAAAATTGCATTTTTGGCAACAAGCTTTTAATTGCACTTTGTATGTGCTCATTACCTTAAATTGAGAGCGAGACAGACAGCTTTAACGGACGTCTCTTTCGAGCATTGGCAGCCATTTTAATGCAAAACTTGGCAGCACTTTTTTACAAACCAAGTGACGGAAGAAAAAAAATAACAAAAACAGGAAGAAGTCAGCATTTAAATGCATAAAAAAGTCAATGCAAGGAAAGGACAACAAGTAAAGAATTAACAGCAAGAGAGAAAGAGATAAAGGGTGAAAGATAGAGAGCGGGCAGTGAAAAAGTTCACACGTACGTGTGTGTGTGTGTGCGCGTGTGTGTGTGTGTCACGTTTTGTTGTAATTGTGCGCTAAAGTAACAAAGCGAATGGAAAATTGGAAATGGGAATGAGAAGAAATGAAAATGATATTGCCAAAAGCGTTCCGAAAAACTTTTAACGACAAAAACAAGCCACATACACACACACATATGTGTGTGTGAATTTTATTTAAATGTATAAAGTCTGGCAGAAATAATTAAACTGTGCATTGAAGTTTGTGTTTTTTTCTTTAATGTACTTTGGCGGAACGAAAAGACAATTAGGAAATGGTTCTTAAAGAAGGCAGCAAAACGGCGCGGGACACGCCCTTTCAGATATGCGTAATTTCAATTAAATGCCAGCATACGGAATACCCCTACCATCTAGCTGACATTTGCAGCTTTTGTTAGTTCAGTAATTTTATATTTTTTTTTTTTTTCGTTTTTCGTTTTTGTTACTTTTTGTACACCTTTGTTGGCCGTTGGCTGTTAATACTATTATTTTTTCATTTGCAGCAACAGACGCGGATTAGCGTTGAAATGGAATCGAATTGAGGTGGTATAATGTATGTCTGTGTGTGTGTGTATGTGTATGGGTGTGTGTGTGTGTGTGTGTGTGTGTGTGTGTGTGTAAGTGGGTGTGCTGTGGAAGGTTGGGTGGGGGTTGACGAGTGTGTGGATTGCATGTGTGCATTTGCCTTTGGAGTGATTTTTAATTAAAGTGCTGCGTTAATTGCATTAATCTCAGTGTTTGCATGGGCGTTAGCTGCAGAGGAGCATATAGGGAAAGAGAGAGAGAGCGAAAGGAGGAGAGAGAGAAAGAGATAGAGCAGAGGAGAATCGCTCAAGTCCTGCAAATCTCAGTATATACAATCATTGTATAAGCGCTTTTACTGGGCACAAAAATGGAAAAAGATAAATCAATTTGACGATTGTTTTTTCGTGAACCTATCGAAATATGCGAAACAAATGGAAAGTTGATGCCCTTTGTAGTTACCCATAAAGCTGTCTTAATTAAAAACAATTTATTTAAAAAACTACACCATTTGTTTTAGGCACTGCGTTATATTAATTTGAGCAAAAAGAAAAGCTTTAGTTAATTAATTAAACAGACAATCGTCTTATATTAAAAGCCAAATATTAAATTACAGTTTTAAGACGAGAATGAGGCAATGTTATGATGAAGGTGTGCGTTAAGACGGGATTGCAGAATATTCCACCCGGATGTGTAGAAAAATCGCCAAAAACCTTACGAAGATCTTTGAGAGAGTTTATTTAATAGGTGTCACGGCAAAAAACGGGGTATACCCGCTAGTTGTGTATATCTCAACTCTGAACTATATTTATGTATTATTAAGCATATGCAAAGAATTATATTTCTTATAATAAAATGAAGCTAAAACTGTTCTCTTCATTTCTTTTATTACGTTTGACTTACCCTTTTCAAAATATATATGATTTTTTATGACTCAACTCATTTGGAATGAACTTCTTTATAATTGCAGCTGGTTTCGCAGACTTAAAATAAAAGGCAGCCAGACGATATTGGCCAGCAAAGTGGCTCAAATACAATTGACATTTATTGGCCAATATATATTTAAGGCGTCCGCCCAAAGGAAGTGCCTGCTACGCCAGACAGCAACGCAAAGCGAGACACATATAGAAAGAGAAAGAGAGAGAGAGAGGGAAACTAAAAAATATATATATAATAAAAACTAGGTTTATAGTATATCTTGATGTTGTCAATGCTGCACAAGAACTGGCTGCATTCTGCGCGCATGCAAATGCTAGGCAGGACGACGAACAGGACAAGCAACAGCACAATGTCATCCTGTGGACAACGTGGGCGTGCCCAGACAGCAGCAGGCATTGGCTGTCTATGCTGGATGGCATTGCTATTGCTGCTGTTGTTCGTGCCGGGTAAGTAAATGCTATCAACAAAAAAAAGACAAAGAAAAGCCCAAAAATCTAAAAAAAAAAAAAAAACAAATCGAAGCTAATTTTGTAGAAGATTTGCGCAAAGACCCGCAAAAACTTTTTGACGAAATATTTACAAAAGTTGCCAGGCCCGGAGCCAACAAAAACAAATAAACGACACAAAACTGACAGCAGACCCGACAGAGCCCGGCGATAATTAATTTTTAAGCTGCACAAAATGAAGCGCGGACAAGTGACACGCAAAAGATACAGCGGACGCAATCAGTCAGGGGCAGCTGAGGGTGATAAAATCAATCGTTCGTTAAATAAACAAATCTTATTTTTCCGCAAACATTATTTCTCATCAGTAGCAAGTGGAGACAAAAACAACAGCAACAACAGCAACAATAAATGAATAGAGTGATGACAACAAAATTTTTTATAAATGCGCGCATTTATCTGCATAAAACGAAGAGAGACACGAGGGGAATGGGGGGATAGAGAGAGAGAGAGAGAGAGAGAGAGAGAGAGAGAGAGAGAGAGAGAGAGAGAGAGAGAGAGAGAGAGAGCCGCGGGCATGCAGTGAAATAATTAACGAGGGTTGCCACAGAGCACAATATCAAGATGATTTTGGGAGCAAAAAAGATTTTTTAGCATAAAGAAATTATATTTGTATTATTAATACAATATATTTAATATAATATTACTAATAATAATATATATCAAATATTTTAAATATATAAAGTACAATTAATATATTGAACAAGACCATATTTGAGTGGACGTCTGAAAATCTTTTAACTTTAAACATACTCTAATCAAATTTCAATACATATATATTTAATATATATTTAATTACAATTATTTGTTTTTTCTTAAAAATAAAATAATATTAAATACATTTTATAAAATTATAAATTAAACTGGAAAACTGAAAGAATTCTTGTATAATATTTTATTTATTTTTTTCTGCTAATAATTTTTATCATAAAGCAAAATAAAATTAAAATGTTCACAAATTAGTTTCATTTATAAATAAATCTTGATAGCTAGTCAGATTTATTTTATAATTTTAATTTTTAATTTATAATTTTAATTTTTTCCTAATTTAAAAATTATATATTATTAATAAAGGAATATGTATATTAATTATAAAATAAAATCTACAAATTAGCATAAATGTCTGCAGCCTTGAAAAATACCAAGCTGATTGCCTTTCTGGCAAATTTCATGTGTGAAAATTGAATTACCAAGATGAGACGTAATTATTTTAATTGCAGTTCTACAGTTTTCTTTCGGCCATAAACAGTTACCTAAATTAGTTTGCTTTGCCAGAGCTTTCTTCTCTTAATACCCACCGAATCTCAACCTTTTACAATTGCGCCCATATCACAGAAAAACATAGACAGATGTGTTTCAGTTGCATTCACATGTTAATTTAGTTAACTTTTATTTAAGCAGAAATTTGTTTATAACAGTGAAAAGCCAAAAACAAAGGAAAAGTGTTCAAAGAACTTTGTAATAGAAATCTTGTAATAAGAATTTAAATACAATTTTCCAGGCCTGCAGTTGATATCGTGTCTAACACACTTAGACACAATTAACCGCCCAATATTCAGCAATTGTCTTCGGTTAACCCTCGCTCCATAAACAATAAGAGCAAAGTAGCAGTTCATTGCGTTTGCTTAGAGCACTCGAGAAGCCCCAAAATGATGATGTTGCAAAAGGAACTATGAGATACTTAATATCCAACCACTGACTGCCATTTGCTATTTTATTTTGTTGTTGCTGCTGTTGTAGGTTTTTTGTGCGGCGCTATGAAAATGCCGAAAGGCACGCGGCAAGAAAAAGGCAGACAACAGCACAAGTGTAAACAAGCAGAAAAACAACAATAGCAACAATAACAACAACGAACTGTACAAAACCAACAACAGCAATTGCTGCCTCGAAAATGTTTCATAATTTTTTGCGTGATAAAGTCGCATTTGCTGGGATTAAATAAGATTTTCTTGCAATTACCCAACGAGTGCACAAACTTTTAGTACTCAGTGCTGTTTTCAAATGGCGCTGGGAAGGAGGGTCGAAAAAAGTTTCTTATTGATTTCAACTTGGGCATGCGAAACAGAATCCACAGCTCAATCGATAGTTTGTAATTTATGTCCAACACAAAGAACGAGCTAAGAATTGTTTGGCCCTTTTGCGTATTTAACTGCCCAACATGCAACACGTTGTGAGTTGTGCAGCAGTGTAAATGCAGCAGACAACAAGCACAAAACAGCTAGAATACCTAGAACAGAGCAATAAATGAGCCGAATATCAAATACCCTATTGTAGTGACATGTGTATTTTATGTTAATATCATTTGGATAGACCAATTATAAATACCCCTGTACAAATTTAGCACATGGTTGTAAAAATAGTGAAGAATGAAGATTAGGAAATTTTGCAATATAAGAACAAGAAGGGAATGAGCAAGAACTTAAACTGCGATCATTAAGTTGTTAATTTTTTTAGGAGAACAAACTTTACATAGATTATATTATTTAATTATCAAAAAAGTGGTTGTAAGAAATTATTACTAATTATACTACCTAAAAATCACCAATTTTATCAAAACTCATCTTCACTCACTGATTAATTCTCTGCTCTAAAGCGATTTGTCTTTTACAAAACTGGCGACGAAACGCAAATACCCTTGACGAAGGCGAGCAAACAACAATGCACCAAATTGGCTTCAGCTTTTGGTATTGCCTGGGACTCTGCTCATCGCTGGCCTATAAAGAACTCAGATCATACATACGCACTGTTGTGAAGTGCTTTGTTTAGCAAGCACCTAAGTCTGTGCCTGGTGGCCCAAGCTGCACTCCAGCCGAATGTCTTTCCTCCCCCCTCCTGCCGACCACAGTCACAAGCACAGCTCCACTTTGCATATCACACGAACTTGCACTTTGCAGCTGCCATATATTTTTTTTCCTTTCGTATCCTTAGGTGGTTTTCTAATGGGGTTGCGGGGGTGCTTGTGTTTTGTCTAGCAGACATTTACCGTTTACTGTTTTGACATTCCAACTTGGTGCAGCTGATGGGCATGCTGCCCGCCCACTTACCCTCCCCCTCCAACCCAACTTGCCAACTGACAGCCTCTTTTGTCATCGTCTTCAGCTATTGTGGGCGTGCCCTGTCAGAGCCTGTCTAGTTACCCATTCAATGGCTGCATTCCAAGAGGTAGCACTATATATATCTATAGACTACCAGGGTTAAACTGCATTGCAAAAGGATTTGCTTTGGTAACAGCTATGACAAATTGTGAGTAAGTAATGCATGTATGTATGTAGGAAAATATATCTTTATATGCTTGTGTAAATATTTTTAGAGCCATATCAACTCTATATTGAGCATAAATTGGCAATATGTATTTTGGTAATTTTATTAATAGCTAATAGGAAGAGATAGAGACTAATTGAGATGAAGAGATTTGAGAGAGAGAGAGAGAGAGAGAGAGAGGGAAAGATAGAAAGAGGAATTAGGAATAAAAATACAATAAATACATTTAATGTTTCCATACATACATTCTAGATTAGAGTCCATAGCCGAGTTGTAATAACCACGTCCCTCTGTCCGACTGTCCGTTTCTATATAAACTAGTCTCACAGCTTTAAACTCAAAACTGTCAAAACTGGCTGGATCCAACTATATCTGACTTTATATCATATAGAAAATATATGGGAAAATATGGCAAATATTCTCAGCATTTACGAGCTTGACCATTCGTTTTTTAATAAATTCCTTTTATAAAGGTTAAGCCTATATCTATAAGTCTCTCATAAAACACAACAAGCTCCATTTCTGATCCGGCGACTCTTTGCTTCGTTTTGCATAATGCCCACAACAATTCCGAGCTGTTTATCTTACAATCAATTTGTAATATTGGAGCATTTAAATATTTGTTATTTCTGTTTCGTTTGTTTAATTTTACTTTTTATAATCCCATAATGTACGTGTATCACTTTTAAGAGGCCTAGCGATGTCAGTTGGGTGCTGAGCTGCACTTAAAACGATATTTTAATAGTTGCAAAGAAAAAAAAAAAAAAAAAAAATGTAAAAAAATGTTGGAAAATTTGCATTTAATTTGCACAATTGAAAAAACTTGAGCTGCATTAAAATACAAAATGTTTTTTAATTTTGTTTCTCTTGTTGTTCTTGTATTTATTTTTTGGGGTGTTACGTAATCCACCGGCTGTGTGAGCTTATGAAATATAATGAAATAGCAACACGCAACACACACAGCGACAGCTAAAAAACTGGCTTAAAATCTCATATATCAGACCCACGCTTTCTCTGGGTGTATGTGTGTGTGTGTGCGCATATTTTTTTTTGTTTTATTTTTTGTGGCAACAACAACAGCAACGAATAATTGCAACAGCAACAAGATGGTCAATGTACCAGCAGTTGTTGCTTTGGCTGTGTGTGTTGTTGTTATTTTTTTATTTTGGTTATGAAATATGAGTCAAGTTTTCAATGCATGCCGGATGCATTCATTACCGTTGACGACTGAGTGCGGTGCGTGTGTGCGAGAGAGAGAGAGAGAGGGAGAGAGAGACCGAGAGAGTAAGAGATGGCAAGACGAAACGACGAACTCCATGCATACACATGCTCGCCATTATGCAACTGCGAGTGTGTTTCTGTGTGTTTGTGTGCCTGTGCTACGCAGTTTTGGGTATATCTTTTCGCTTTTTTTTTACATTTATAACAAATGCACTACACACCCTTACACACGCACACACACACAGCAACTTTATGATCTCATGCATATGTATGCGTTTGTAAAAGCCACCACACACCCAAAAATAAAAATAAAAAAACATTACAACTCCCAAAACTTCACTGTCAGTTAAGCAATGAAAATGCTATAAAAGACTTGGAACTCAAATAAATTTGGATGAAGTGAAGATTTGCTATAAAACAAGATATGGATTAGACATGCTAAGTATAAGGGTTGAAAACTT